GTCCCCCCAAACTCTCCCTTTAGCCCCCCCAAACCTCACCTGACCTCCCTGCCCCCACAAAAAGCCCTTCCCTTCATCTCCCAGTCCCTCCCTTGACCTCCTACTTCCCCCCGCTCCCCCAAAGCCCCCCCAGACCTCCCCAAGCCCCCCCACCTGAGTTTCCCGTCATCCACCATCTCCTCGGCGTCCGAGAAGTTCAGCACTTGGTCCCCCTTGGGCAGGGGCTGCACTGGGGGGGTGGGAGGGGAGGGTGAGGGGCTGGTGACCCCCCAGGCCCCCCCAGTGCCCCCCAGGCCCCCCCTCACCTGTCTGGTCCTGCAGCAGGTGGTACTGGCGCAGGAGCTGCCAGTGCAGCTGCAGGGCCTTGGGGGTCCTTGAAGGGTAAAACACCTCGGGGTGTCGGAGCAGCAGGTCCTGGAAGGTCTCCAGGGAGGGCTGGGGTGTCTGGGGAGGACAGGGGACATGAGGGGGATGTGGGGGGACACTTTGAGACACAAGGGGAAACGTGGAAACCCAAGGGGACATGGAGGGATGCGAGGGGACACAACGGGGGGGGACACAAAGGGACACTTGGGAACGCCCCACTGTCCCCAATCCCACCGGCCGTTTGGGGCCACTCACCGAGGGGACCCTGGTGAGCAGCTGCTCCTCAGCTTTGCTGAACAGGACCTTGCTCTGCACGGCGGCCACAGCCTCGGGGTGCAGCGAGCGCATGGCCTGGCAGGCCAGTCTGGGGGACCCAGGGGTGAGACCCCCAGGGACCCCCAGCATGGAGGAGACCCCCGAGACCCCCAAGGACAGCCCAGATATGAGACCCTGCCAATGACAGGTGAGACCCCAAAGGACGACCCAGACCCCCAGGGAGGGCTGAGACGCTCCTCAGGGACACCTGAAACCACCCCCTGGGGACATCCCAGCTCCTCTGGGGACACCTGAGACCCCCCCCGAGCCCCCCAGGACCCCCGGTTCCCCCTCACACAGACCCCTGGATCCCCCCCGAGCACCCTGGTTCCCCCTCACTTGCCGGGGGGTCGTAGAGCAGCATCCCTGGATCTCCCTCAGGGACCAGGGACCCTCAGCTCCCCCCACAGACCCCCCGATCCCCCCCAAGCCCCCCGAGCCCCCTCACTTGCAGATGACGGGGTCGTAGAGCAGCGCGTACCAGCGCTCCTGGATCTCCCTCAGGGTGAAGCGGCAGCTGAACTTCACCCCCAGGTGAACCGAGGTGAGGTCGTTGGTCTGGGAACACCCTCAGGTCAGGGGAAGGGTCTGTGGGTCTCCCCAAACCCCCACCGGGTGAGGGGGGTCCCTGAGCCCCCCAGCCCACCTGCAGCACGGCGTTGATGAGCAGCAGGTCGTCGGCGGGTTTCCAGCGGCCCAGGTCCCGCGGCACCGCCGGGCTCTGCTTGCTCTTCTTGAGCCTCTTGGGCAGCCCGGGGGGGGGCCCGGGGGCCGCGGGGGGGGGCACTGCCCTCGACACCTGGGGGGGGACAGGTTTAGAGGGGTCTCTGGGGGTCCCCAGGCTGCTGGGATGTCCCCAATGGCTTCTGGATGTCCCCAATATTTTCTGGATGCCCCCAACAGCCATGGGGGGGATCCCAGGCCTGGGGTCATGGGGGAGACACCACCCTCGACATCGGCATGGGGGGGCACAGGGGGCTCTGGGGGCTCCCCAACGGCTCCTGAATGAACCCAGATGTCCCCAGTGACCCCAGGACAGCCCCAGGACCACCTGCCCTGGGACTCCCCCACTGGCCCAGGGTGTCCCCAATGTCCCCGTGCTGCCCCCAGTCCCCACCCAGCCCTGACCTTCCTCCTGTCCCCCGGGGGAGGGTCGGGGCCAGGCCGAGGGGGGGGCTCTGGGCCCCCCTTGGCACGGCTCGAGGACTTGGCCAGACTGCTCTCGACCAGCTCATCGTCGAACTTCTTCCTCTTGATGAACCTGCCGGGGGGGCACGGGGAGGTACAGACATGGGACCAGACCCCCCTGTGCCCCACACCCTGCCTGGAGCCCCCAGTGACCCCCCACGACCCCCACCCCCTACCATGTCACCCCCAGTGTCCCCTTGTTGTGGCTCATTCTCAGCTCCCCCCGACCCCTCCGAAGACCCTCCCAGACCCTCCAAGACCTTCAAAACCCCCAAAGCCCCCCGTACCTGAAGGAGCTGTGGCGTTTGGGGACAGTCCCCAGGGGACCCTCCAGCCCCCCCTCGTTGTGGTTCATTCTCAGCGCCCCCGACCCCTACCAAGGCTCCCCCAGCCCCCCCCGTCCCCCCGTACCTGGAGGAGCTGCGGCGTTTGGGGACAGTCCCCGGGGGAGGGGCCGGGCCCCTTTTGGTCCCCCCCAGGGACTCCTCGTCCTCCGAGCGACTCGTGGCCATGGGGGGTCCTGGGGGTGTTCCTGGGGGTCTCTGGGGGGGTCACAGCAGGTGGGTGTGTCACCCAGTGCCACCCCCCCCCGGGGCTGTCACACCCCAGGGGGGTGGATTCGGGAGGGATTTGGGGGACAATGGGGATTGGGGGGGGGCAATGAGGACATAGGGGGGGTCCTGTCACACCTCGGGGGGCGGACTGAGGGGGTGGGGGCCATGAGGAGACACGGGGGGTGACAACGGGGGGGGACGAAAAGGGCACAACCTGTCGGCGCGTGGGGGACTCGGCCCGGGCTTCATGCCCCTCCCGCCGTCCCCCAGCCCCGTGTCCCCCCCAGAACCCCTCACGGACCTCCCCAAGCCCCCAGACCCCCCACTCCCCATCAGGCCTCACCAGCCCCGGCATCCCCGGACCGCCATGGCCGCTTCCCTTCCGGAAGCCCGTGACGTCACTGAAGCCGCGGAGGCCGCCGCCATGTGAAAGGTTCCTCCTTTGCCCTTGCGGCGTGACGCCATCTTGACTAAGGGCAGGGCCGCGCCCCCTGCGTTCTGAGCCGGAGATGAGGGCGGGCCGGGAGCGGTCGCGTCCAACGCACGACGGTGGGAACGGGACGTGCCCGCTTATCCCGGCAGATACAGCTTGTTCCGGCCGTTGAAGCGGCCGTTGCCATCATAGTGGCACCACCGCCACACTTATCATGGCGGCTGCCCGCACCCATTATGGCGGCCGCCGTCAGGGCCTCGCACCCACCAGCCGTGGGTGCCCTCACCCATCATGGGGTCCTGGAACTTCCCGATCGATCCGATCAAATTCATTCGATCTAATTAATAAAACTGTGTAGTTTGGATGCTGGAATATCCACTAGCTCTTGTGTCTGAGCCAGGAGCCACATGAGCCCCCAGTGAGCCAGGGGCCAATTTAAGGGCCATTTTTAGGGGTTCCTACAGCCCCTGCTGAGCCAGGGGCTGTTTCAGGGGTTCGCACCAACACCCCAATAACGCAGGGGCCAATTTAAGAGCCGTTTTAGGGGCTCCCCCCAGTCCCCCAATGAACCAGGGGCAGTTTCAGGGGTTCAGCCCCCACCCCTACCCCGTGACTGTCCCCAGGCTGTGAAGGACTCAGGCCCAGTGGGGGAACAGCACCTTTTATTGGGGTGAACGTCGCTGTGGGGCCGAGCTGAGCCCGGGGGGTCGAGACCCTGTGTGGGGCCAAACCCTTCATGTGGGGCCAAAGTGCCCCATGGGCCCGATGGCCCCATCCCAGGACAAACATTCCCAGGTGCTCCAGCACAGCTGGTGCCTCACTGGGACCTTCCCAGGGCACAACCAGGGCGAGAAATCCCATGTCCCAGGTTCCATGTCCCAGGCTCTGTGTCCATGTCCATGTCCCCTGTTCCTGCTGCCATCCCCAGAGCACGGCCAGGGCGGACAATCCCGTGTTCCATGTCCTGTGTCCCCTGTTTGTGTCCCATGTTTCATGTCCCATGTTCCATATCCCGAGTTCCATGTCCCGTATCCCATGTCCATGTCCTATGTCCCATATCCAGTATCCATGTTCCATGTCCATGTCAATATTCCGTGTTTCATGTCCTGTGTCCATGTCCCTTATCCCATGTCTGTGTCCATGTCCCACACCTCGTATCCCATGTCCATGTCCCATATCCTGTGTCCATGTCCCTTATCCCATGTCTGTGTCCATGTCCCATATCCCATATCCTATACCCATGTCCTGTATCCCATATCTGTATCCCATATCCCATGTTCCACACCCCATACCCCATGTCCGTGCCCCCCGTGCCCACCCCCCATTTCACAGTGGGGGGTCTATGCGGAGCTGGGGGTCCCGCGTCCGTCCGGGGGCTCGGCAGGGCTGGCGGCCCATTCCTGCCTCTGGATCGTGCCCGTCCTGCCCTCGAGGAGGTGCCGCCGCTGCTCCCGTGGGATCCGCACGGCGTGGTACTGCGGCACGGCCGGGGGTGCCCGGCGGGCCCGGCGGAAAAACCCCACCTGGGGCACCGGGGAACAGGTCAGGGGACAGGGGAATGGGTCACGGGGGCCGGGGGGGTCAGGGGGATCCGTCCCTCACCTTCCAGAGCCCAAGGACCAGCAGGGCCAGGAGGAGGATCCCGAGCAGAACCGCCAGCGGGACCACCCACCACGGGACCCCCGCCACCGCCACCCCCGGGTCCAGGTGGATGGACACCGACATCTGGGGGGGCAGGGGGGGTCAGAGGAGTCTAGGGGAGTGAGGGGGCTCCGGGGGGGTCGGAGCAGGGGTCAGACCTGCGTGGCCGCATCCTTGAGCACCAGGTTCTTGCTGGGGGAGGTGACGGAAACCTCGGCACGGACGATCAGCTCCAGCGAGGAGACATCCAGGAATTCCTGGTGGGAACAGGGGGAGTCCGGGTCGGGCTGAGCCCCCTTCCCACCCATCGCCGCCCCCCCGCCCCCCGCAGCCCCGGTACCTCCAGGAAGGTGCCGTTCCAGAGGCGGCCCCGCGCCCGCAGCTCCGAGCGCTCCAGGGTGGGCAGTGGGCACAGGAACGGGCGGCAGCGGGCAGTGCCCCGGGCACAGTCCTGGGGGGACGGGACATCGGGAATGGGGGGAGACCCCGGGAATGGGGGAAGACCCCGGGAATGGGGGGGGGTGTCACACTGCAGCCTGAAACGGGACCCCAGGACTGCATGTGCCAGAGCAGGGACACCCCGGGAACAGGGGCACCCCAGGACTGTGCGTGCTGGAATAGGGGCACTCCAGGAAGGGTATCCTCAGAGTGCCCCCCCATTGAACAGGCCCCCCCAAAGCAGGACTCCCCCGAGCAGGGCCCCCCAAAGCGGGTGTCCCCCCACTCACCAGTGTCACGTTCCTCCTCCTCTCTGAGGGCGCTGGGACCCACCAGGACCGAGGGGGGGATGCCTGGGGGGGGTCACCCTGTCCCAGTGGCTCCTGAAGGGGAGTAAAAGGGGGGCAGCAGCGACCCTCGGGCACACCTGGGCACCCCCAGAGACCCCCAGACACCTCTGGACGCTCCCAAGGCACCCCCATTGGCACCCCCCAGGCACCCCCAAACCCCCCCAGGCACCCCCAGCCCCGTGGCCGTACCAGGGCGAGGCGCAGGGGGTTGGCAGAGGGGCTGCAGGGCACGGGGGGGGTGCCTAGTTCCAGGCTCAGGGGGTACAGGAGCCACTTTCCGTTGGGCAGCTCGTGGGGCCAGTGCAGGGTGAGGAAGGCAGAGCCCAGAGTCTTCAGCGCCTGTCCCCTGTGGGACACCTGGAGGGGGCACGAGACCCCTACCCCATGAGTGCCACCCGTCCCACAAACACCCTCCACCCCGTCAATGCCACTCACATGGACCCCCCCAGACCCCAAAACACCCCCCACCTCATAAATGCCCCCCCATGGGCCCCCCACTCCAAAGGCACCCCCCATGGACACCCCCCCCCCCAAAAAAAAACCATTCCAAAATGATCCACCCACATGGACCCCCCGCCCCACAAATACGCCCCACCCCATAAATGCCCCCACATGAACCCCCCCAGCCCACAGACACCCCCCGCCCCACTCCCGGCTCTCCCATGGGGGTCCCGGCGGGGGACTCACCGTGACCTCGAAGCTGACGGCGCTGCCCACCTGGCTCTCCCTGCGCACGGCGCTCTCCCCCCGCACCTCCCCCCCGAAAAACAGCCGGGGGGGCACGGCCACTCTGGGGGGGGACAGACAGGGGTCAAGGGGGTCCCAGAGAAGGTCCCGGGGGGGTCCTGGGGTGGTCCCGAACCCCACTTACCCCGTCACGGAGAGGGGCAGCTCGAGGACCACCCGGGCACGAGCGACCACCGGCTCCAGCCCCGGCTGTTCGCTGATCCTGGGGAGGGGTCGGGGGGTCGGTTGGGGCAGCACCCAAACTCCCCCCGTGCCGTGCCCAGAGCCCAGCGCGGGGGCTGAACTCCCCCAACCCTGCGGATCCAACCCCCAAAGCCCCCACGGCTTCACCCCAAATCCTGGGGCCTCCGTGCCCTAAATCCTGGGTGCTCCAGCCCCCAGACCCCCCAGGCCTCTGGTCTCCAAACCCCCCGGGGCTCCACCACACCCCCCCCCGGGGGTCTCCACACCCCCCCCGGGGGTCTCCACCCCCAACCCCGGGGGTCTCCACCCCCAACCCCCGCTCACGTGGACAGCGCGAGCTCCACCGCCAGGTCCGAGGTGTGGATGGTTATTCCCGAGGTGCCGAGGATGAGGAAGAACCGCACCTGGGGCACAGGGGGGGCACAGGGGGGAGCGCTGGGGCCGGGCCAGGGGGCGGGGTGGGCGAGGGATTGGGGAGGGGGCTGCGCCCACCTGCGCTCCGCGTTTCAGGGGGTTCCCCAGCTCACACTCCACCTGGGAGCCGTTCTGGTTGGCGAGGCACAGCACGGGCTTGTCCTGGGGGGCACAGGACTGAGCCCCCCCTGCGGGCACCCCCGGCCCACTGCACCCCCAGGACCATCACAGCCCACACCCCCAGGGGGCTGAGACCCCCCCTGCGGGCACCCCCAGCCCCCTCCCCACCCTACACGCCCGCCCCCCCTGCCCCCCCAGCCCCTCACCCCGAGCCCCCCGCCCTCGTCGGGCCGCAGGGCCGCGTAGGGCAGCTCCGGGGGCAGAGTGGCCGTGAGCTGGGCTTGGTGGGCATCGTCCCCGTCCCGCTGCGGCTCCGCCGGGTCCGACGGCTCGTTGGTCACCAGGACCTCCAGGGCCACGTCCTTCTGGTCACTCATGGCGAAGATGGCAGTGCCATCCTCGGCCCTGCGGGGGCACAGCCACCGTCCCACACCTCCGGGACCATCCCACACACCCCGGACCCCCAGAACCATCCCACACACCCCAGACCCCCAGGACCATCCCACACCCCCAGGACCATCCGCCCCACACCCCCGTCCCCCCAGGGTGGGCACTGCCCCCCGGCCCCCCACCTGGGCAGGGGCAGGAACTCGCTGTCACCGCGGCGGGCGCAGAACTGGAAGTGCAGCCGGAGGTTGCTCTGGCAGATCTTGTCATCCCCGCAGCCCTGGCGCAGGAAATGCACCTGGGGGGGCACGGGGGGGGCACTCAGGGGGGCTCCGGGGGGGACGGGGCAACCTCAGGGATTGGGGGGACACTGCGGGGGGAGCTCCGGGTGGAATGGGTTGCCCCTGGGGACACAGTGCAGGTGACCCCCGAGTAGAACAGGGCACTCCCTGGGATATGGGGGGGACACTGCAGGTAACCCCCAGGTTGGACTGGGGGACTCTCCAGGTGGCCCCCAGGTGGGACAGGGGTGACGCCCCAGGTACCCCTGGGAGGGACAGGCCTCCCAGGCCGGTGGTCCCTGGCAGTGCCCACCTCGGCGCGGTGGGTGCTGGGCTGGTGGGGGCTGAGCGCGGGGGAAAGGGGGGGCAGCACAGCCCCCCGCCCCCCCCGGTGCCCCCCAGGCCCCCGGATCCCATAGGCCAAGGTGACAACGATGGGCCGCAGCTTGTCCCGGATCCCGTCCTGGAGGGACACAAAGAGGAGGAGGAGGAGGACAGAGGGAGGAAGGTCAGGGGTCACTCAGGGACCTGGGAGGTGTTGGCACAGCTGGAGGGGGCTGTGGGGGTGGGATTGAGGAGGGGGACAAGGATGGGGATGATGAGGATGAGGATGGGGCCGAGGCCGAGCACCCACGTGCAGCTGGAAGGTGGGGGTGACACAGGCCCGGCTGTGCTGCCGGGGCAGCTCCAGGGTCCCAGAGAGCTGGTGCTCGGGGTCCGCGGGGCCACGGCCCAGGAACGACCCCCGGGGGGCTTGGCCACGGCGCCGGCGCTCGGTGTCCACGTCCAGTACGAACTCCAGCTCTGGGGACACAGGGAGGGGAGGCCTCAGGGAGGGGAGGCAGCAGGGACTGGGGTCCTTGGGGCTGGGGATCATCGGGGCTGGGACGCTCCCGGGGCTGGGGTCCCTCGGGGGGTCTCACCGAGGCGGGGGCTGTAGCTCGCAGGACTGGCCGTGTAGCTGAAACAGGCTCGGACCTCCACGCTGGGGGGGGCACGGGGTCAGACGGGGGGCAGCGGCCCCCTGGGCCCATGCCCGGGGAGGGGGTGCGGGGGGGCTCGGGGACACCCACCAGACGCCCTCCCAGTGGTGGCAGTTGCTCTGCTCCAGGTCGATGGTGGGGGGCAGCAGCGACACGTTCCGGGACACGTGGACCACCGGGCGGGCCCTGCCGGGGGCAAACGGGATCCCAGAGCGGGCCCCCCCTCCTGAGGGCACCCCCAGCTCTGCAGGGACCCCCAGGGCGGGGGATGCTCTGGGAGGGGTTGAGGGAGCCCTGGGATGAGGGGTCCTTAGGGGTGGGGGTCCTCAGGGATGGAGGGTTCTCAGGGAGGGGGGGATGCCCAGGGATGTGGGGGGTCCTTGGGGATCCAGTCCTTGGGACTAGGAGGGTCTCTGGAGATGGGGGTAGTGCAGGGTTGGGGACTCCTCAGGAATGGGGGTCCTGGGAGATGGGAAGCTCCAAAGGATTGAGATCCTTGGGAACTGGGGGGCATGCTCAGTCTCGGGGGTCCTCAAGGCCAGGGGCTCCCAGAGGTGGTCCCGGGGGTCCCAGGGATGGGGTCTCACCTGTAGAGCACCACGGTGTCGGACAGGGACCCCACCAGCAGGTCGGGGTACAGGTTCCCATCCACGTCCAGCCCCCCCGACAGGGAATACCCGAAGGTTGGGACCCCCACGGCTTCCCCGTCCAGGACCTGGGGACACCGGTAGGTGACAGGGGACCCCGCGAGGGCCCTGCCAGGGCAGCCCCCTCCCCACCGTCCCCCCCTCACCTGGGCCGGCCTGGCCACGATGCCCAGGGCGCTCCCGTGGTAAATGAACACTTTGCCGGCACCGTCGAAAGGGGCTCCCACGGCCAGGTCTGGGGGGGCAACGGCAGCTGGGGGGGGCACAGAGCCCTCCCGGGACCCTCTCGGGGGGACAGCCCCCAGTGCCACCATCCCCAGCCCTTGGAGACCCCAACCCCACCCCCCGAACCCCAAACCCTCAAATCTGTCATGGTTGAGGTCTTGGTGCCACCATCCCCAGTTTTTGGGGTATCCAGAGCCCCCCAAATCCCTCACCATCAAAACCGTCCTGTTTGTGTTCCACAATGGCACCACCCCCAGCCCCTGGGGACCCCAAATTCCCCCAAACCCCTCATCCTCAAATCCATCACGGTCAAAGTCCCCAGTTCCACCATCCTCAGCCCCTGGGGACCCCAAATATCCCCCAAGCCCCCTCACCCTCAAAGCCGTCATGGTTGAGGTCCCCGGCCGTGCTCAGGGCGGTGCCGAACATGGACCCCCGGGTGCCGTTGAGCCTCAGGGGGGTCACAGCATCCCAGAGCCCCCCGGGGTTGATGTAAACATAAACAGCCCCCCCGATCTCCTCCTGGCGCTCAAAGAAGTGGGGGGCCCCCACCACCAGGTCCATCCACCTGAGGGAACACGGGTCTGTCACCTCCTGGGTGACCCCCAAAGTGTCCCGGTGCCCCCAGACACGGCACTGGGATTTTGGGGGATTCAGGGATTGAGGGGTCCTTGGGGATCGGGGGGGATGCTCAAGGATGAGTCCCAGGGGTTGGGGAATCCCAGGGATTGAGGGGTCCCTGGGAACGGGCGGGGTCCTCAGCCTGGGGGCTGAGGGGATGGAGGGACAGGGGTTGGACTCTGCCCGGGGGGGTCTCCCGGGGGTCCCCCCGCACTCACCCGTCGCTGTTGAGGTCGAGCACGGCCAGGGCGTGCCCGAAGGCCGAGCTGAGCTGCGGCCCGGGCAGCACCGCCTCGGGCACCAGGCGGTTGGCGCTGTCGCGACGCAGGATCACGACAGCCCCGGTGTGGTTGGCGCGGGGGGCGCCGGTGACAAAGCTCAGCCCCCCCCGGCGCGTCAGCCCCGCGCCCGAGTCCACTGAGAACCCTGCGGGGAGCGGGGGAGAGGGTCGGTGCCCACCCGGCCCCCGGAATGCCCGCGCTGTCCGTCCGTCAGTCCGTCCCACCCTCTCTCTCTGCTCGACCCCTCTGGGATCCCCTTGGGAATGGGGGGGATTCCTCTGATGGAAATAGGGGGAATGGGGGGATTTTGCTCCTGGGAATGGGGGGATTCCCCCGTGGGAATGGGGGGCCCATGTGCCTCAGTGTCCCTGCTCTTCTTGCCTGGGGAGGGCAGGATTTGGGGTCTCACCAACTTGGGTAGGGAGCTGAGCCTTTTGGTGGTGTGGGGGGAGCAACGAGCAGCCCCCCCCGCATTGCCAGAAGGGAAGGTTTGGGGGGGAAAAGGGCAGATTCTGAGACCAGAGCAGCAGATTTTGGGCTGAGAGAGCGGGGGGAGCCCCTTCCCCACATGCAGCTATTGCAGAGTGCAGCCCCCGCAGCCCCCCACGGCCGCCTGAGCCCCCCCGCAGCCCCCCGAGCCCCCAGCCAGGCTTCAGCCGCCCCCCCCAAAACCGTGCACCCCCCCATGCAGAAACATCTCCGGGGGGACAAGCGGGGGGACGGGGGGTGCTGGGGGCCACGCCAGGCTCGGGGATCCCCCCTCCAGGGCTCTGTGCCCCCCCTCTCGAGCTCTGTCCACCCTCCCCCAGCCTGGCAGTGCCCCCAACACAGCCCGGGCACAGCGACGGGACACAGGACGGGGCGGGGGGACACAGGAATGGGGGAACAGGGACTGGGGACACGGGAATTGGGGGAACAGGGATTGGGGACACGGGAATTGGGGGGACAGGAATGGGGGAACGGGGACTGGGGACACGGGAATTGGGGGGACAGGAATGGGGGAACAGGGACTGGGGACACGGGCATTGGGGGACAGGGCTGCAGGGACAAGGAATGGGAGGGGACAGGGGTGGGAGGTCTGGGGGATGGACACAGGAGGGGTGGGGGCGTGCAGGGGGGGCTGTGGCCACACGTGTGCACGGCTGCGTGTGCGGGGGGGAGCACGGGGGGACGTGTGTACAGAGAGAGAGAGAGAGAGAGAGGCATGTCTGGGGACATGGATGTGAGGGGGGACAGGGGGATCCCCAGGACTGGGGACAAATGTGTGCTGGGGGGACGTGTGTGTGTTTGGGGGGACACATGTCCAGAATGACACGCGTGCATGGGGACATGTGATAAAGGGGACATGTCTGTACAGGCACACGTATGTGCACGGTGACACGTGTGTGCACACGGGCTCCCACAGGGCCCCTCAGAGCCTGGGTCTGTCCCCACAGGTGACATGGGTGACACGGCACAGGACACGCTGCGGGGAGGGCACACACGGCACACATATGGCACACACATGGCACACGCGTGGCACAGCCGTGGCACACACGAACCCATGTAGCTATTGTGGGCCACGTCTGGGGCGGCGCCGGGGACCCTCTCGCCGGGCTGGGGGGTCCGGAAGACCCTCTGGTCGGGGGCAGCGCTCTCAATGTTTGTCACAAAGAGCAGCCCTGGGGGTGGGGGGTGGGTGTCAGGGCGGGCACGGGGGGGGGCGCAGGGGCCGCGGCAGCCGGGGGGGACCCCCGGGCCGGGCCCCCCCGTACCGAAATAGCTGTTGGCGGGCACGGGGATGAGCGAGGGGTCCTGGTCCTTCTCCCCCCCCGCTTCGAAGGGACCGGCGTCCGGGCGCAGCAGGTCCAGAGAGCTCTGGTTGAGCTGCTCCACGCGCAGGGTCCCTGCGGGGGCCGGGGTGAGGGGAGACACCACGGGGACCACCAGGGGGACCCCCGGGAACACCACTGGGACCCCCAGGGACCCTTCAGCACCGGCGAGTTCTGTTTGAGATGCTCCATGCTCAGGGTCCCTGGGGGAGCCCGGGGTGAGGGGGCTGGGCAGGGGACACCAGGGGGACCCTCAGGGACTCCAGGGGGACCCCCAGGGATCCCTCATGCTCCGGGGGGCTCTGGTGGAGCTGCTCCACGTGCTGGGTCACCTGCACACGTATGTGCACACCCGGCCCACCTGCCCAGGCAGGGGTTGCACTCACACCCCCACACCCCCCTCCCGGGCAGCCCCTCACCCCTCCACGGGGTTGTCCGGGCCAACTCCTCACCCTTCCAGTTGTAGGTGCTGGGGGCCCAATGCAGGAACATCCACCCCCAGCCCACACACAGCCCCTCACACGGGCAGCCCCTCGCCCCTTGACGGGGGGTCCGGGCTGCCCCCTCACCCTTCCAGTTGCACATGCTGGGGGCTCCGAGCAGGAACACTCACCCACACCTCACACCCCCGTCTCCTGGGCAGCCCCTCGCCCCTCCGGGGGGTTCCCGGCCCTCCTCACCCTTCCAGTTGTAGGTGCCGGGGGCCCCGAGCAGGACGTAGCGGCGGTCGGGGCTGAACGCGGCCGCCAGGCCCTGCTGGCAGGTGCCAAAGCGCTCGTGGCCCTGGGGCCGCCCCTCGCAGAACTTCCACTCGCCGCCGTCCAGCTCGTCCCGCACCCGCAGGTCCTGGCTCAGCACGAAGCACCTCCCGATCACGTCCCGCGTCTCCAGCGGCTGCCGCACCCGGTGCCGCACCTCGTACCGGTGGGCACAGGTCTGGGGGCACCCAGAGGGGTCACGGAGTGCCGGGCCCCCTCCCCTAGGGGTGCCGGTGCCCCCCGCCTCCCACCCCGGCACCCACCACGATCTTCCCTCCGGCTCCTTGGCTCTTCACGCTCACCCCCAGCCACTGGTTCTCTTTGCTCTCCCGCTGCGGGTCCACTGTGGGCACAGGGGGCAGGGTCAGCCCCGCCGGGAAGCCCCCCAGGACCCCCTGCACCCCCCGGGGAGCGCAGCTCACCTCCCTCATCGATGGGCACCCGCCAGCAGTCGGAGAGCTCGGGGGTCAGCGGGCAGGCAAAGAGCCCCCCGGTCCGGTTGGCACCTTGGCTGGGCAGCGCCTGCGCCTGGGGGGCCCCCACCAGCAGCCTGGCAGGGCACAGACCCCCGTCAGGTGCCCAGAGCCCCCCCGGAGCCCCCCCGGAGCTGTCACACGCCCACACCGATGTCCCCGTGCCCGGGCGGTGCCAGCCCGGCCGAGCAGCTGCTGCCCCGGCACCGTTCCCAGGGCTCAGCCGCAGCTCAGTGCACGGGTGGGTGCGGGGGGGACGCGCACTCGGGCCCCCCCACGCTCCCCGACTGCCCCACCCGGGACAGCAGCGTTGGGGGCACCCTGACCCCTTCCCCGGGGTCCTCGAGGGGTCACACTCCGCGGGACAAGTCCGGTGCCACCGGGGGCTCCTCGGTGGCCACGGGGCACCTGCAGCCACCCCCGGCCCGCCTGCCCCGGGGGTGTTGGTGGCCTGGGGACACGGCCGAGCCCCGGGGGGTGGCAGAGAGGCAGAGCCGGTAAAAATAAACTGGAATTCACTCAAAATAACCCCGCAGCAACATGCCCAAAAAAGGAGGGAGGCACAGGGAGGCACCGGGTGCCCCCCGGAGCCAGGCCAGGGCACCCTGCGAGGGGACCGGGGGGCACCGGGAGGACGGGCGGGGACTGCGGGTGCGGGGCCGGTGGGACCGAGCCCAGTGCGGCTCCGCAAACACCCGCAGCGGCCACCGGGAGCCAAAAACCGCCCTCGGCGCCAAGACCGTGGCGCGGGAGGGAGTCGGGTGACAACGGTGACAACGGTGACAACGGCGCCACCGGGGGCACGGGGACGGACGGGAATGGGGGGCTACAAGGGGGCACACGACGGTGACACTGCCCAGAGACCTGCCCGCTCAGGGGCTCTCCGGTGCTGAGACCCCCGGCAGGAGCCCGGGGGCGGCCAGGGGGATATGGGGGGACACGGGGAGCCCCGCGGGCTGTGGGACATGGGGACACGGGGGCTGGGGGACACGGGGACAGGGGACACGGGGCCGTGACGGGGGTCTCGGCAGCCGCGGGTGGGCGTTCGCCGCAGCGGCCGCGGGGGAAGCGGTGGTCACGGCCCGGGGGGCCCAGCCGGGGGGGTCCCTCCACACGAGCACCCCGGGGATGCAGCGATGGACCCCCGAACCCCCCCAGCACCCCCCCCAATCCCCGTCCGCGGTTAATGCTGAATAATCCCGGGCCGCGCAGGCGGCGACTCCGCGCCTGTCCCCGTCCCCTCGGAGCTGCAGCGCGGGTGGGTGGGTGGGTCGAACCCCCCGCGAATCCCGAGGACCCCAGCCCCGGTCTCCGGTTCCTCCCGCCCCGGGGCTCCTTCCCTTCCCATTCCCGGGGTTCCTGGGCTCGTCCAGCCCAGGTCCCCTCCCAGAGCCGGGACTCCCGGTCCTGCTTCAGCCCCCCAGTCCCGGGGCTCCAGATCCCCCCCAGTCCCGGGACTTACGGTCCCCCCCATTCCCGGGGTCGGGTTCCCCCACCCCAGGTCTGCGGTCACCCCCTTCCCCGGGGGTCGCCCCCCGCACTCACCAGCCCGCCGGTTCGGGGCTAAGCTGCCGGTGCAGTGCCACGGCGGCCCCGAAGAGGCTGCCCCGCTCGCCGTCCTTCAGCACGGGGCTGCTGCCGTCCAGGTTGAAGGCGGCGACCGCGAGCAGCCGCAGGGCGACCCAGGGCAGCCACCGGCACCGGCACCGGGAGCGGCCCCGGGGACCCTCCATCCCGCCGCCGCCGCGCCCCGGCCCCGCCGCTCCGCCGCCCGCGGGAGGAGCCCGGGCTGTCCCGGGGAGGGGGCTCGGCCCCGGCCCCGCCCGCCCGCGCAGGGGAATCCCCCGGGAGTCCCACCCCGGGATGGGGCTGAGCATCGCGGCACGTGTGGCGGGGACGGCTCTGTATGGCAGGTGCTGCACCCATATGGGACTGATTGCACCCATGGGACAGACTGCACCCATGTGGGACAGACTGAACCCCACGTGGGACAGACTGGGCAGGAGGGACCCCAAAACTCTGGTACCACTGCCTGCAGTGATATCCCAGTATTGGGGGACACAGCAGAGGGAGGGGGACAGGACAGCCCCTCTGAGGTCCCCTCTCACCTCCATCCTTGGGTGGGAGAGGAGAAACCCCCTGAACCCCAAAAACGGGAGGAGAGGGCCCCACACCCCCACTCTGAAGGGGCCGGTGCCCGTGTGGGCTCCTGGGGGGACACAGGGGGTGAGCAGTGCCAGGACCCCCAGGAGTGTTCAGGACATGGGGGGTCAGCAGTGCCAGGACTCCTGGGAGCAGCTGTGACCCCAGCTTGGCCCCAGGCCCCCCATGGCCGTTTTTGGGGGGGACTGGGGGCTTTGTCATATTTTCCAGCTCCCCGGCTATTTTTATCCGCTCTCCAAAGGCCTTAGGAGATATTTGGGAGCTGCCAGGGCCGTGTGAATGAGCTCCAGCACTGCTGGAAGCACCCCCAGCTCCTCCTCCCCACCTTTGGGGGGCACCAGAGCAGGCCCAGGAGGGTCCATGCCCCCCATTTTCCCCTCCCAGACACCCCCCATTCTTCCCACTTTCCAGCCCAAATCCCTTCCCAGACGTGGGAACAGCCTGGGAGCAGAGGACGGGAATAGACCCATTCCCAGGGGGCTGCTTGGCCTCCTGCCCCCCCGGGGGCTCCCCAGGGAGGAGGATCTGCTGGATAACCAGGAAGGACATCGGGAAGATGGATAAACCAGGATTCCGGGTGGTGATGGCACAGAGGAGACCCCAAAATCTGCTCCGGGGAGTAACAACCCAAACCTTGGAGGAATGAGCTCCCAAGGCTCCAAATCCAGGTTGTTTTCCCTCAAAATGAGCCGAACTTGAGCTCTGGGATGGACCCTTGGGGCTCCCCCCACTCCTGGAGATGTGCTGGAGGCAGCAGCTGCTCCTGATTAGCACCCAGGGATCCTTTGGGATGGGGATTTCCAAGCCCAAAACTGTCTCGTGACCTCGTCCCACCTCAGCACTCCCATACACGGAACCTCCATCCCCTCTGTCCCCTCTGTCCCATCTCCAGGGGGTTCTTTTTGGGACAAGCGTCCCAAAAAGTGGAGGGATGTGCACATGGAGCACGAGCGTTCTCATGGCCGGGGTGGGGGGTGTCAGAGTCAAGAATCAGGAGGAGAAAACTCCTTGTTGGGAGATTCCCTTCGCTCTGATTCTGATGGGACGGGAGCTCTGAGCTCCCTGAACCCGCAGCCTCATCCCAGCGGCTGCCGGTGGCTCTGGGGGGGCCGCGGGGCTGATCCCCCCCCGCACGGAGAGGGCAAGTGGGGCCGGACTCATCCCGCTCCCACGGCCCCGGGACTGCGGCCGAGGCTGGGAAGGGATCAGGAGCTCCGAGTGGGCGACGGGGAAGCGCTTCCCGGGGAGCGGAGGTGGGAGCGGCGCTGGGGCGGGGCAGGGACGGGAGGGAAGGAGGGAGGGAAACGCTCTGTGAACTCCGGGGAGGGCTGGATGGGATCCCGAAATCCGGGATACTCCCGGAGCACCGTCCACGGGCGGGGGGAGGGACGGGAGCAGCTCCCCATCGGCACATTGGCAACGGGATGAGCGCCTGGAGAGGTGTCACCGCCCGCGGCACCTGGGCGAGGGTCACTTGTCACCTGCAAGGTCCCCACCGGGCACTGACCTCCCGTTCCTGCGGAAGGCGGGGCAGGAATTGCCGGGAATGGCCGTCCCTGCCCACTCCAAACCCCGCCGGGACCCTCCCGGAGCCAATCCCGGGATGGGGGGGGGCAGAGGAATGCCGACAGCCCACCCCCCCAATCCCAAAACACTCCTTGGCTCCCAGGGCCCCCGGGATCGATCCCGGAGCCGCTCCCGGGGCTCGGAGGGGCTGGAACCGGAGTCGGGGTTATTTTTACCCTCCCGGGTTTATCTCCGGCCACGTTTCGCACTCGGGTTCTGCGGGAATTCCGCCAGGTCCCTGCTGGGAGAACTGGGAGCGACTGGGAGCGGCACCGCGGGGCCACTGCGGGGAGGCGGAACCGGGGGCTGGAGGACCCTGAGCCCCCTCCCCACTTTGATCCTCACCTTCCTCATCCTCCCTCCCCAGCGCGAGGGAATGATGAATCTTCCTCATCCTCATCATCCTCTGGGGCTGCTGAACCCCGGGGTTTGTGCCTTCCTCATCCTCCCTCCCCGTGCCCAGCCTGAGGGAACAACAGGATCCTCCTCGTCATCATCCCCCAGTTCTGGGGCTCCCGAATCCTTCTGCCTTCCTCATCCTCCCTCTCCCTGCCCAAGGTGAGGGAATGACCTTCCTCCCGCTCCTCCTCCTCCCCCCGGCTCCCGGGGTGACCCCAACGTTTTTTTTGGCAGCCCCCAGTCCCGGCTCTCCCGAGGGAATTCCAGGAGCACTTTCCTGGCGGTGGCTCCGGCTCCAGTCCCTCCCTGAGTGGGACAATTCCCGAGGATTCAGGGCCGGGAAGGGGGTGGCAGGGCGGGAATTCCCACTTGGGAACACCTGGGGAGGAAAAGGGGGGGGGGGTTAAGAGTCATTCCAGCAGCCTCTGGAGTGCAGGACCCCTCAATCCCCCCCCAAATCCTCCATCCCCCATACAGACCCCTTATAGTCCCCCCAGGCCCCCATCCAGGCCCCACAGATCCCATACAGTCCCCTATAGGTCCCATACAGTCCCCTACATACCCCCTACAGTCCCCTACGGACCCCTATAGACCCCCTACAGTCCCCTACAGACCCCATACAGTCTCCTACAGACCCCTATAGATCCCATAGAGTCCCCATACAGTCTCCTATAGACCCCATACAGTCCCCTATAGATCCCCTACAGTCCCCTATAGACCCCATAGTCCCCTACAGTCCCCTATAGACCCCATACAGTCCCCTACAGTCCCCATACAGTCCCCTACAGTCCCATGCAGTCCCCTATAGATCCCCTACAGTCCCCTACAGACCCCATACAGTCCCCTACAGACCCCTATAGATCCCATAGAGTCCCCATACAGTCCCATACAGTCCCCTATAGACCCCATACAGTCCCCTATAGATCCCCTACAGTCCCCTATAGACCCCATACAGTCCCCTACAGTCCCCTATAGACCCCATACAGTCCCCTACAGTCCCCTATAGACCCCATACAGTCCCCTACAGTCCCCTACAGTCCCCTATAGACCCCATACAGTCCCCTATAGATCCCCTACAGTCCCCTATAGACCCCATACAGTCCCCTACAGACCCCTATAGATCCCATAGAGTCCCCATACAGTCCCATACAGTCCCCTATAGACCCCCTACAGTCCCCATACAGTCCCCTACAGTCCCCTATAGACCCCATACAGTCCCCTATAGGTCCCTCCATGGCCCCCCACAGCCCCCCGGTCACGTGTCCCCGCGGGCCGTGTCACGTGCAGATTCGGGGGTCACGTGTAGGTGACGTCACGGTCACGTGCCCCCGCCATGCTGTCGCGGCTGCTGAAGGAGCATCAGGCCCGGCAGAGCGAGCGGCGCGAGCTGCAGGGTGAGACCCGCCCCCGTCACCATGGCGACCGCCCCCGCCCGCCATTGGCTGCGGGACCTGCCGCTCACCGCGGGCCGGCGTCCCATTGGTTGGCGCGGCTGTCCGTCACGGAGGGGAGAGGGAGGGCAGTGATGTCACGATGACGTAACGCACTCACCTGTGACGTCATGGGGTTGGGGGCCCCGCCGCCCCTCACGGCCCTGTGTGTGTGTGTGTGTGACCCCCCCATCCCCACACAGAGCGGCGCCGAAGGGACGCGATCGCGGCCGCCACGCGCCTCACAGAGGCCCTGGTCGATCACCTCAACGTGGGGTGAGCCCGCGACCCCCCGACCCGGACTGGGGACACCCAGCCGGGGGCCCCCGGGTCCCCAACCCCCCTGGGGACCCCAAACCACGGCTGGGAACCCCCGGACGCCGACCGAGGACCCCCGGACCCCAAACCACAGCAGGGGACCCCCAAACCCCCTCTGAGGACTCCCTGAGCCCCAAACCCCGAGCCCCGCAGACCCCCAGGGACCCACAAAACCCCCAAGCCCCCAGCTGGGGACCCACCTAGGACCCCCCACCCCCTCACCCCGTCCCCCCCAAAACCCTGCCCAACACACCCCCAGCCCCTCCCAACCCCTCCCCAGCTCTTTGTCCCTTTTTCGGGGCTCCCCCTGCCCTGGGGGGTGTCAGGGCAGGACCCCACGGCCCAGCCCCTCCCGTGCCCCCCCAGGGTGGCCCAGGCCTATGTGAACCAGCGCAAACTGGACCAGGAGGTGAAGACCCTGCAGGTGCAGGCGGCCCAGTTTGCCCGGCAGACGGGGCACTGGATCTCCATGGTGGAGAACTTCAACCAGGCCCTCAAGGTGGGAGACCCCTCTCCAAAATCCACAGCCCTTGGGGGGGATCCCACCCCCGACCCGCCACGGGGTTGTCACTCTGGGACACCCCTGAGACTGAGTTGGGGCACTGAGCAATAAGGGGAGGGGGCACTGAGGGGGGGTGTCCCCTGTGGTCTTTGGTGGGGTGGCAGCCCCCAGACCCTTGGGTTTGTGCTGGAGTGGGTGGGCAGCACCCAGGGGTCTTGGGCAACATCAAGGGGGGGCCTGGGTGGCATCCAGGGGGTCCCAGCAGAATCCAGAGGGTCTCGGGGAGCACCCAGGGGGTCCCAGCAGCCCCATGGGGCTGCATCTGCCAGAGGGAGGGACAGAGTCCCCCCAAATCCCTGTGATCCCTACCTCCACCATGGGAATCCCCCCGAAATCCCTGGGCCCCTGTGGGACCCCCCCAAACCCCCAGGACCCCGTCCCACAGGAGATCGGTGACGTGGAGAACTGGGCGCGGAGCATCGAGATGGACATGAGGACCATCGCCACCGCCCTCGAGTACGTCTACAAGGGGCAGCTCCAGCCCTCCTCCTGCTCCTGAGGGACCCCCGGGACCCCCAGCACCGCGGCTGCTCCCGGCACAGGACGGGGGTCCTGCAGCAGCAGCTCCTGGAGCGTCCCCGGGACCCCCCGCCCTGGGAGTGGGTGGAATAAAGTGTGGGGAGCTCGGGGAGGNACAGGACGGGGGTCCTGCAGCAGCAGCTCCTGGAGCGTCCCCGGGACCCCCCGCCCTGGGAGTGGGTGGAATAAAGTGTGGGGAGCTCGGGGAGGGGGGGCTGGGCCAGGCACCGGCAGGACCCTGGTACAGCCCCCCCGGGCCCCCCTAAGCCCCCTCATCCTCCTTAGTGCTTAACTCGGCTCTGAGGCTCCTTTTTCCCTGGGACAAAGGGCCCGTTCTGGGCTCTAAATCCCCCCGGGGGAGGCTCCGGGTGATGCCCCCCCTATTTCCCAGGGCTGGGAGGGCCCTAATCCCCCGGGGGAGGGGACAATGCCCCCCCATCCCCCGGGCTGGGAGGGGGCCCCAGGGGTCTCTGTGTTCTCTGGGCAGGGTCTCCTCCATTGGGAGGGTCCCCCAACAAGGTGAGCGGGTCTCCCAGCACCCCCAGAGGTGCCCAAGCCCCCCCTTCCCTGGAGCATCGCGGGGGAGGGAGCTCAGCCCCCCGAGACCTTTGGCCGTGCTGGGCACAGGGAGGAGTGGCCACGTCCCCCCCCGGCTCTCACGGGACCCCCCCACCTCACTCGGCCCCAGCGCCGTGGCCAGAGCAGCACCTGGAGCCCTCTGCCCTCAGGAGGTAGGTGGGGACCCCCCTCTGCACCCCGACCCATGGGGTCTTCTGTGGGGGTTCTGCCCAGAGAGGGGGTTCTGCCCCAGGGCTGGTGAGGGGAGTTTGTCCAGTTTGTCCTGCCCACCCCCCCCCCCATCTCTGGAGGTGCAGGACAGACCCCGGGTGTCCTCCCACCCTTCGGTGTCCCCCCCAAACCTGAAAGTGGGGAGCAGTGGGGATCCTGACACCTGCCAAGCCCCCCCAGATGGGGCTTCTGGAGGGGGGCATGACCCCCCCCCAGCACAGGACAGACCCTGACTGTCCTCCCTCCTTTAGTGACCCCCCCAAACCCGAGGGTGGGAACGGGGGTCCCTCCCACCCCAGCAGGTCCATAACCCCCAACCAGCAACGGAGGGTCCTGACACCCCCAAAACCCCTCAGACGGGGCTCCTGGATGGGGGCACGGCCCCTCCAGGGCTCCCTCCCCGCGAGGGGCGGGTGTGGGGGCAGGTGGGTCGGGGGTCCCAGACCCCACGGTGCAGGACCCCTCCCTGCATGCCCCGGGGGTCAGAGGGCCCCGGGGGTCGCTCCTGCTGCGGGAGGGGCCGCGGTGGGACCTCCCGGAGCCGCCCCGGCGCTGGGTCCGGCCCCGGCGGTGACGCACGGCCGGTTAATCCGGGCTCGGCCGCCCGCGGGCCCGGCCTGGCCGCGGGGAGGTGGGTCAGGGGCCGGGGGGGGCTCGGGGGGGGCCGGGGGCACCAAACACCACCTCGGGGGGACAGGGACGGCCCTGGGGTCACCTGTGTGCCCAAAGCACCTGGGCACTGAGTGCCCCCCTTTGCCCACCCCCACCTGAGGGAGACCAGACCCCCGAGGGGGGGCAGGGGGGTGTCCCCATGCGAGGGGTGAGGGGTCGGGGCTCCACTCGGGGTGCAGGGCAGTCCTGGCAGGGGTCCCACAGCCCCCCCTCCCCGCAGGCCAGTGGCACCGGGGCAGGGTGGGGGTCCAGCCGAGCTCCACCTGGGCTGCAGGGGGGTCCTGGTGGGGGTCCCACAGCCCCCCCCGCCCCGCAGGCCCCCCCATGTGGCTGTACGTGGTGCTGGCTGCCCTGGCCTGGGCGCTGGGCTGGCTCGTGCGAGACCACCGGACCCTGCCCTCGGTGAAGGACAAGCACGTTTTCATCACGGGCTGTGACAGCGGCTTTGGCAACCTCCTGGCCCGGCGGCTCAGCCGGAGGGGCTACCGAGTGCTCGCTGCCTGCCTGACCCCGCACGGCGCCGAGAGCCTCCAGAGGAGCTGCGGGGGCCACCTCCGGACCACCCTGCTGGACGTGACCCGCTCCGACAGCATCCGCAGGGCCGGGGAGTGGGTGAGGGCAGAGGTGGGAGAGAAAGGTGAGGGCAAGGGGGGCATGCAAGGGGGGCACGGGGGATATGGGGGGATGAGGACCCGGGGAGGGGCTGTGGGGCAGGATTAGGGGTCCCTCACAAGGATGGAACATGGGGGGCTGTGTCCCACCAGGGTGAAGGGTGGTGGGGCTGTGGGGAGCCCCAGAGAGGGGCTACAGGATGGGGGGGGTCCCAGCAGGGACAGCCGTGGGGCAGGACAGAGGGGAGGGTCCTGCCAAGGCACCCTGGAGACAGGACGGGGGTCCTGAGGGAGGCACAGGAACACAGAGGGAGGGTCCCACCAGGGCACACTGGGGGTGGGGTGGGGGTCCCAGGGGAGGTGCCCTGGGGCAGGGCCATGGCAGGGGGACCTCACCCCATGCCCTCCACAGGCCTGTTCGGGCTGGTGAACAACGCGGGGGTGGCCAACCCGATCGGCCCCACGGAGTGGATGGACATCGAGGACTATCGGCGGGTCATGGCCGTCAACACCTTTGGGGCCATCGAGGTGACACTGCAGCTGCTGCCGCTGCTCAAACGGGCGCGGGGCCGGGTGGTCAACACGTCCAGTGTCCTGGGCCGGATCTCGGCCAACGGCGGCGGCTACTGCATGTCCAAGTACTGCGTCGAGGCCTTCTCTGACAGCCTGCGGTGCGTGCCAGGCCCCACCAGCCCTGGAGCCCCTCACCCATCCCTGACCCCTCCCTATGGGGTCCTGGAGCCCCCTGACCCGCCCATGCCCCCCAGGAGGGACATGTACCACTTCGGGGTCAAGGTGAGCATCGTCGAGCCCGGGTTTTTCAAGACAGCCGTGACCAACCTTGAGGTCCTCGAGGCGTCGCTGCAGCAGCTCTGGGAGCGCCTGGCACCTGAGACACGGCTGAGCTACGGGGAGGACTTCTTCCAAAAATGTGGGTGAGGGGGGGACTTCAAAAATGGGAGGTGATGGGGGGCTTCCAAAACTGCGATGGGGGGGCTTCTATAAGTGTGAGTGGGCAGGAGGGCTCTGCCTCAGTTTCCCTCCTCCCGAACCCTCTTTTCCCTCATCCCCCTGAGCTTCCTCAGTTTCCTTCCACACCACCCCCTTTCCTGCATCCTTTGCACCCACACGGTGCTACACCAGGCGCACCAGCTCATCTCTGCCTCAGTTCTCCCTTTCCTGACCCTCCTTTTTCACAACCCCCCAGACCTCAAAGGTGCAGCATCTCACTCCTGCCTCAGTTTCCCCTCACCTACTCCCACTTTTCCTGTATCCCTGACACCTCAAGGTGCAACAGCTCATCTCTGCCTCAGTTCCCCCACTCTCCCTTCCCACTTCACCTTGACCTCAAGGTGCAGAAAGTCACCGCTGCCTGTTTCCCCCTCCCTGAACCCCCTTCCCCCCCACCTGATGCCCCCTTTTCCCCCCCAGACCTGAAGGTGCAGAGGTTCATCATGACCCTGATGTGTGACGGGGACCTGACCAAGGTCACGGGGTGCATCGAACACGCACTGGGGGCACGACACCCCCGGACCCGCTACAGCGCGGGCTGGGACGCGAAGCTGCTCTGGCTCCCGGCCTCCTACCTGCCCTCCTGCGTCGTGGACCTGATCCTGGCCACCATCCTGCCCAAGCCGGCCCACCGTGTCCGTTAGACCGCCCCCAGACCCCCCCCGGGGGCGGTGAGACCCCCAAAATGTGGTGAATAAACCCCCCGGCCCGACCCCTCCCTGCTCGGGGGCTGCTGGGGGCTGTTGGCACGCGGGAATGTGGGGACACTGAGGTTACACATGGGGATTTGGGGACATTGAGGTGGCACTCAGGGACTGTTGGGGACATTGAGGTGGCCTACAGAGCCCCCAGACCCCCACAAGAGCTGTGAGACCCCCCCAAGGGTGGTGAATAAGCCCCCCAGCCTGACCCCAGCCTGCTCAGGGATTGCTGGGGACATCACAGTGACACGTGGGAACTTGGGGACATTGAGGAGGCACATGAGGATTTGGGGACACTGACATGGCCCCCACCCAGGAAGGTCCTTGTCCCACCCCCAAGGGACCCCCACGCCCCCCACTGCCGGGGGGCACACTCAGCTCTACAGAAGCTTTTTCTCTTTATTTCCACACCCGGGGACACCTCCCGGCCCTGAGGGATCCCCGGGGGGAGCTGGCTCTGCCCCAGCAGAGCCGAGGGGGACCCCCCAGGACCCCAGAGCCCCCCTGGGGGTGTCGGGGTGGCTACATGACCTCGTAGCCGCTGCGGATGCCCCTCATGAGGCAGCAGGCAAAGATGATGCCCAGGATCTGGGGAGGAAAAAGGGGGGTCAGTCCCACATGGGGGGGGGTTGTTTCAGCCCCATCAGCCCCACACTGAGGGGGGGGAGTCAGTCCCACTCCAGAGGGGTCAGGGGGACAGTCCCACAGCGGGGTGTTGGGAGGGGTCAGCCCTGTCAGCCCCACATTGCAGGGGTTCAGCCCCACACCAAAGGGTCAGTCCCACACTGGGGGGCTCAGCCCCACATCCCACCTCGAAGAAGGCGATGCCCAGAGCCACCGCGGCCACGACCAGGATGTTCTTCTTCATCCACGCCTCGATGCTCTCCTGGCAGCCCTGGGGGGGACAGGGGGGTTCAGGGGGTGCAGGACACCCCCTGGGGCATGGCAGGGGGGTCTGGGAGGGGGGGTCTCACCTTCTCATAGACGGTCTCAGGGCTGGGGTGGACGTTGCAGGTGGTGGTGTTGACGCGGCAGCACGACCTGGGCACGGTGTCGTTGGCCTGGAACTGCTTGATGTTGGCCCAGTCCGTGTAGTTGTTGGCCCCGCAGCACTTGAACTGAGAGGAGGAAGGGGGGGGTCAGGGGGGCCCGGATGCCCCCCCGCGCCCCCACCCCGATACTCACGTCCCTCTGGAGCTCGTCCAGCGCTTCGGTCAATGCCGGGTCCTCCTCGTACTTGTTCATGGCCTCCTGCAGCCCCTCCTTCAGCACCGACCTCACCTGGGGGGGCGGGGGGGTCACACCGGGGCCAGGGGGTCCCTGGGACCCCGGGGGAGGGGGGGCTGTGTCCCTGTCCCACGTGTTCCCACCTTGTCCTTGAAGACGTATCCGGCGATGGCGGCGGCGATTTCCACCAGGAAGATGATGCTGAGCAGGACGGCAAACTGGGGGGGCACGGGGGGGTCAGGGGGTCCCCGGGGGGGTCACAGTGGGGGTGGGGGTTCATGGGGGCTGAGTGGGGGTTGTAGTGGCAGGGTCAGGTGAGGGCTCAGAGTGAGGGAGGGTCATGATGGGGGTTACAGGGAGAGTTTCAGGAGGGTCGGGTATTTTGGGGGGGTCACAGTGGGGGGGGGGGGTCACGGTGGCAGTTAGTGAGGGGTTATGGTGAGGGTTCACAGTGAAGGGGCGAGTTGAGGGGGTCACTAGAGGGGCTGCGGTAGGGGGGTCACATTGGGGGATGGTCACAGTGAAAGGGTGAGGGGGTCACAGTGGGGGCTCAGGGAGCGGAGACTGGGTTGGGGGTCACGGTGGGGATTATTTTGGGAGGTTGGGTGGGGGTCACATTGGGGGGGTCAGGGTGGGGGGCTTGGATGGGGGTGTCCCTGGGGGGGGTTGGATGGGGATGTCCCGGGGGCCCAGCAGGGTTTCCCCCTCACCGTGGTGACCATGCAGTAACTCTCCTTCCAGGCGCCGCAGCAGCCGAAGAAGGAGATGAAGAAGATGATGACGCCCAGGACCAGGATGGCCACGGGGGTCCCGGCCGAGGAGCCACTGCTGACCACCAGGGCCTTACCCAGGGCCACCTGGGCGTAGATGCCGATGGCGATCAGGGCCACGCCGCACACCTGGGGGGCACAGAGGGGGGGCAGAGAGCGTTGGGGCACAGCCGGGACCCCCCCTGGAGCCCCCCCGAGCCACCAGGGTGGGGGGGCACCCGCAGCCTCTCTGGAGTTTGCCTTCACACCGGGGACCCCCTCCCTGGGGGCCGTGGGAGGTTTCTCTCCCAGCACAGCCCCCCCGCGGTGGGAGGGGGCACGGGGGGGGGCACCGCTGGCCCCACGAGTGCCGGAAAGTCCAGGAAGTCCGGCCTTCCGGCCACGCGAGGCCTCGGAGGGGGAATCTGGCACCGGATCCCTGCCCTGGGGGTCCCTGTGGATCGGGGGTGCCGGTGGGGGGGGGAGTTTATCCCACCAGGAAACACCAGCAGCCCCCTCCCGCAGGAGCTGGGACACCTCGCCCCTGCCCGGCTGTGGGGTCTATTCCCCCCCATTTCCAAGCCCCCCGCAAGGGTGGGACCCCTGCCACGCTTCCCCCATATCCCGGGGGCGGCGGTTCCCCCCGTGCCGTGCCCTGTTTGCTCGCGGGGCGTGGGCTCGGCCGCCGCTGCACAAACACGGGGGGGGCGGGGGGGCTGGCGCCGTGTCCCGCCGTGTCACCGTGTCCCCCCCCGCCTCCCCCGGCCCTCGAGGGGTGACTCAGCCCGGCAGGATTAGGGTGGGGACAAGTGCCTCCCTGCGTGGGGGGGTGAGAGAGCGGCCGGGAAGGGGCCCGTGACCCCCCCAGCCCCCATCCCCCGCTGCGGCCGTTGGGCTCTCGCGCCTCTTTCCTCACCCCGACTTCCCCAAACCCGCGCCCCGCTTATCGGGGGACCCCAGGCAGGGAGGGTTCCCCCCACACCCCCACGCGGGGTCCCCACCGTGACCCCAGGGCCGGGCTCCCCCCGTTAACCCTGGAACCGACGGATGGCACATGGGGCTGCAGAGACCAGAGTAGGCACAGGGGTCCCTTCCTGCCCCTCCAGGACCACCCCCACGGCAGCAGAACACTCCCCCCCCGTCCCCGTGACCCCCAACTCAGGGTCTGGGGGATTGGGGGGGGGGGCTGGGTCCCCCTTCCGGGTTCTGCCGGCCCCGGGACCCCCCTCGGCTGTCCCTCCGGTGCCCCCCAGCCCCGCACTTACCCAGAAGATGAAGTTGAAGAAGAAGACCAGGAACTTCACGCATTTCATGCCCCCCTCGACCGCCATGGCCCGTCCTGGGGGAGCCGCCGCTCAGCACCGGCCCCGGCCCCGCGCCCGGGCCCACCCCGCTCCCGTTCACCGGCCCGAGACCCCCAGTCCCGATCCCGGGGACCGAGCCCCGGTGTCCCGGCACCGCTCCCGCCCTGGTCCCGGTGCTCCCGGAATTCCTGGTGCCGCCGCCCCCGCTCCCGGAGTTCCCGGGGCTGCTCCACAACCCCTGCCGGTGCCGGTGGTCCCGGTCCCGCTCCCCACCCCGGCCCAGGGGCTCCCGAAGTTCCCGGTGCCGCTCCCCCCACAGCCCAGGAGCCTCAGCGAGTTCCCGGTGGTCCCGGTGCCGCTCCCCCGCCGCTCCCGGTGCTCCCAATACCGCTCTTCCCCCCGTTCCCGCTGGTCCCGGTGCCGCTCCCCGCCCCGTTCCCGGTAGTCCCGGTACCGCTCCCCACCCGGTCCCGGTGCTCCCGGCGCTCCCGGTCCCGCTCCCCGCCGTCCTTCCCGAGCGCTCCCCGATCATGTGACGGGCCCGGGGAGTTAACAGGACCGCGGACCCGCCCCGGCACCGCCCCGGGCCCGCCCCGCCCCGGCAGCACAGACACGGGGGTGCGAGAGGCGCTTTAATGGGGGGGACACACGGGGGGTCCCACCGAGGGGACCCGGCACTCAGAGCTCCCACCCCGTCCCGGCTGCCCTCGGTCAGGGGGTCTTGGCCACCCCGGAGTCCCTGTCCCCCTGTATCCTGTACCCTGGTGTCCCTGACACCCCTGATCCCAAACCCGGGGTCTCAGCCCCCTGACCCCACACTCTGGGATCCCTGACACCTCTGACCCCAAACCCGGGGTTCCTGCCATCCCCTTGCCCTTGGTCCCTGTCACCCTGTGACTGCACCTCAAGGTCGTTGAGACCCTCTGCTCTGCACCCCAGACAGTGCTGACCCCACACCTTGGGGTCCCAGCCTCTCCTGAGCCCACACCCCAGGGACCCAGACCCCTCTGACCTCCCACGCCGGGGTCCCTGCCATCCCACTGTCCTTGGTCCCAGTCCCCCCATACCCTCGGATCCCAGCCATCCCGAACCCTTAACCCCGGGGTCCCAGCCCCCCATACCCACCCGCGGGGGTCTCGGCCGCAGGCTCACAGCCCGGGCACGGTGGCCAGTGCCCCCAGCACGGCCTCCAGGTGCTGGGGGTGCAGATAAGCCACGAGGCCCCCCCGGTTCGCCCAGCGCTCGGCCCCCCCCGCCCCCTCTGCCGGGCGGTTATAGACCAGCTCGGGGGGGTCCCCGGCGCGCCCCTCCCGCCGCGCTCGCAGGGCCCCCTCCAGGGCCACCACCCCCCCGCCCAGGGCGCGCAGGATGGCGTGGGGGGCACAGGCGTCCCAGGCGAAGGTGGTGCCCTCGGACAGCACGTAGGCGTCCGCCAGCCCCAGGATCACGCACAGCATCTTGTACCCCGCGCCCGCCGCGAAGTGCAGGCGCCCCCCGCACAGGGGGCCCAGAGCCCCCCGCACGGCCGCCCCCTCCGCCCGGCTCAGCACCACGCGGGGCACGGGGTGGGGGTCGGGGGGGCTCAACGAGCACAGCCGGGTGTCCCCGTGGGCCACGTCCCAGTGGTACCTGCCCTGCCACCTGCGGGGACACGGGCACGGTCAGCGCGGATCCCCCCGCCCCCGGGGGTCGCCCCGCTGCCCCCGCGGTGCCCCCGCGGTGCCGGTACCTGCGGGTCTCTGGGTCCCGTCGAAAGAAGGGCTCGTTGATGACGCCCAGGACGGGGCGGCCTGAGAGGCGGTCGAAGGCCCCGACGAGCACCAGGGCGGAGCAGAGCCCGGCGGGGGCGATGCCATCCACGGGGGGCACGTCCTCGCGGCCCCCGATGTACTCGTTGGTGGAGTCTGGGGGCGCAGCCGGGGCTCAGCGGCGGCACACGGGGGTCCCCGCCCCCCGCCCCGCCCCTGCAGCCCCCCACTCACCGATGGGGTCTATCCACACGGCCAGGTCCCGGGGGGACACGCCGGGCTCGGCGCCCGCCAGCGTCACATCCCCCAGCACCACGTCCCGGTGCACGGCGTCCGCCAGCAGCTCGGCCGCCGCCTGCTCGGGGCCCAGCACCGACAGCAGCAGGGCCACCGTGTCCTCCCGTGTGGCACAGACACGCACGGCCACCGTGCCCCCTGCCACACCCTGAGTCAGCCCCGGCCCCGTCATGGGCACCTTCAGCTCAGCCACGGCCCCACAGACCCAGTGTGGGGACCCCCAACTCAGCCACGAGCGTGTGGGCCCAGCATGGAGACCCCCTCCTCAGCCACAGCCCCACAGTCCCTGCTGAGGGGACCCTCGAGTGAGCCACGGCTTCACATTCCCAGTGTGGGGACTCCCCCTCAGCCGTGACCCTGTGTGGCCCAGCACTGGGACCCCCGACTCAGTCACAGCCCCAGAACAGGACCCCCTGCCCCGGTGACCCCCGACTCACCCTGCACGTCCCTGAACTCGTTGGACTCCTCCCCGTGGATGTGGCCCTGGAGCTCCGGGAACTGGGGGGGCACAGAGGGGGCTCAGCGTGGCACGGGGGGCGCGGGGCACCCGGGGGACCCCCGGTCCGTACCCACCTCCTTGCCCAGGTCGTGCTTGATGACCTCCTGGATGAGAACGTCCGCCAGGGTCTTGAAGTCCTGCAGGAACCTCCTGTTCCTGTCGGGGCCCGTCTTCTCGGCCACCAGGAGCTGGAAGAGCGGCTCCTCCCGCCGGCACAGCCGCGCCAGCTCCGCCGCCTTCTCCGAGACCCCCACGAGCGCCTGCAGCAGCCCCCCCATGGCGGGACGGGCTGGGGGGACACGGCGCTCAGGGGACCCCCTGGGAGGGGCAGAGCCCAGGGACGGGCCCTGCCTGGCCCCGAAATGATCCCGGGAGCAGAGGGAGGAAGGGGGGTATGTGGGGACACCGGGGGACAGAGTGACATGGGGACGTTGGAACCTGGGCACGTGGGGATGTGGGGACGTGGAGACGTGGGGACAGGGTGACATGGGGACATAGGGATGTGGGGACACAGACATGGGGACGTCGGGATTGTGGGAGTGGGGACATGGGCCTGCAGGGACACGGACGTGGACATGGGGATGTGGAGGTGGGGACATGAGAACATGAGGACATGAGGATGTGGGGACAGGGTGACATGGGGACGTGGTGACGGGAATGTGGTGACATGGAGAGGTGGGGACATGAGGACGTGGGCATGGGGACACGGGGCCATGGGGACACGGGGCCATGAGGACACGGGGCCACGGGGAGATGGACACGTGGCCGTGGGGCTGCGCCTCCCCCCCGGTGCCCCCCCCGGTGCCCCCGCGGGGTGTGGGGTGTCTGTCCCGCGTGTGCAGGAAGCGGTCGGGGCAGGGGAGGGTCCCCGCTGCCCCCCGGAAGGCGCGGGGCGATGGGGCCCCCCCGTAACGACCGCGGCCCAAACTTCCCCCCCTCCCCGGGGCCCGACCCCCCGCTGTCCCCCGCCCCGAGCCGCCCCCGCGGGGACCCCCGGCCCCCTGAGGAGCCCCCGCCGCTGCCGTTACCGGGGCCGGGGCCGCTGACAGCTCCTGGGGCGGCCCGTGGGCGGGGACGGCGGGCGCGTCACGGAGCCGCTTTAACCCGCTCGCTCCCGCGGCCCGGCGGGGCAGCGCCCGGCGGAGGGGTCACACCGGCGCTGCGAGAGCCCCGAGGGCGGCGGGACCCCGGTGTAGGGGGGTAGGGACCGCGACGACTTCCCGGGGTGTCACCCCGGGGAGCGGCGCTGCCGTGGCGGCGGGGGAAGCCCCGCTGCGGGTCCCGCTGCCCCCGGCGTCCCGTGTGGGGTCCCTGTGGTGTCCCTGTGGGTCCCTGTGGGGTCTCTGTGTGTCCCTATGTGTCCCTGTGTGTCCCTTTGGGGTCCCTTTGGAGTCCCTTTGGAGTCCCTGTGTGTCCCTTTGGGGTCCCTTTGGGGTCTCTGTGTGTCCCTGGGGTCCCTGTGTGTCCCTTTGGGGTCCCTGTGTGTCCCCGTGTGTCTCTGTGTCCCCCCTGTGTCCCCCCGTGTCCCCCCTTTGGGGTCTCGGTGCCCCCCTGCAGTTCCCGCGGTGGCCGCGCGGTGGCGCCGCCCCCCCGGCGCTGTGGGACCGACCCCGGAGCTCAGTGGCGCCCCCTGGCGGGACGCGCTGGCACCGCCCCCCGGGACCGGGGGGGTAACGGGGCCGCCCCCCCAAACCCATCCCGGGACAGCCCCCCCGCCCGGGCCGTGCCACTCCCCCACCGCACCGGGCCAGGACCCCCTCACCACCCCCGCCGCGCCGGAGCGGTGCCGGTGTATCCCCGGTGTCTCTTCCCCTCTCCATGGTTCTGATGGGGCCGGCACCGGAAGTTGGGGGGGGTCCCCGGTCACCTGTGGGGTCCCCACACTAATCTCAGTGCTTGTGGCAATCCTTGTTACTCCTGGAACCTACTGGCGGCGGCATCTGCCCCGTGCCAGGCTTTGCTCAGAGTGGGCAACCTCACTGCTCTGCCCCCCCAAAGCTCGAGAGCCCCCGCCTTGGGGACAGGACCCCCGTGACCCCTCGAGGTTCCCACGCCCCCAGTTCGTGGCTGGTCTCCCCCCGGTCGTGGTGTGATGGTCCTCGTTGCTCCCGGGACCCACTGGCGGTGGCCGCAGCTCTGCCCGGTGCCAGGCTTCTCCCGCGGTGCTCAACCTCCCCCTCCGCCCCCAGCGCCCGCTGCAGCCCCCCGGGGATCCCCGTGCCCCCCAACTCGTGGCTGGGCTTCCCTCGGCCAAGGTCCCTGTTACTCCTGGAACCCGCTGACGGTCACTGCAGCACTTCCCGGTGCCAGGCTTCTCCCAAGGCGGGCACCCCACCCCCTCAGCACCCACTGCAGCCCACCGGGGACCCCCGTGCCCCCCAAGTCAGAGCTGGGCTTCCCTGGGGCAGGCTCTGCCAGCCCTCGCTGCTCCTGGAACACACCGATAGCTCTCCAGAGCTCTGCCGGGGCCGGCAGCGGAGCGCGGCGAGCGGGGGGGGCTCTGAGGGTGGGGGGAGTCCGGGGGGGCCCGGGACGCGCATCCCGGGGGGCGGTGCACTTGCCGGGACGCGCATCCCCCCGGCCGCACTTGCCGGGAGCGGGTCCCGCCGCGCCGCCCCCCGCCCCGAACGGGAGGCGGGCGGGGGGTCCGGGGCGCACCGGGCGGCGGCGGGGCCGTTCCCCGGGCTCGGGGGGCCGGCGGCGGCTGGTGCCAAGCCCCTGCCAGAACCTCTTTTGTGCGCCCGCAGCCAATCAAGGCCGCTGACGACACACTTCTCTTGGGGTATAAAACCCCGGGGCCGCCGCTACCGCCGCTTTTTTTCATCCCCCCCCCTTCGGCCCCCCCCGGGGTCCCCGCTTCCCCGCCCCCGCCGCCGTTACCGCCTTCCCCCCCTTGCGCGTTGCGGTGGAAGCGGGGCGGGGGGGCGGCCCGGTGGGGAAGGGTTTTATTTTTTTTCTTCTTTCTTTTCTTTTTCTTTTATGTATTTTTTTGTTTTCCCCCCCGGCATGGCCCCGGTGTGGTGGTTGTTGGGGTCGGTGGTGGCGGTGGTGGCCGGGGGGGGGTCGGTGGAGCAGCCCCCCGCCTCCGAGCCCGCCTGCCCCGTGTGCCTGTGGCGGCGGCAGAGCAAAGAGCTGCGGCTGGAGAGCATCAAGTCGCAGATCCTGAGCAAGCTGCGGCTGAAGGAAGCGCCCAACATCACCCGGGAGGTGGTGAAGCAGCTGCTGCCCAAGGCCCCCCCGCTCCAGCAGCTCCTGGACCTCCACGACTTCCAGGGGGACTCGCTGCAGCACGACGAGTACCTGGAGGAGGACGAGTACCACGCCACCACCGAGACCGTCATCAGCATGGCCCAGGAAAGTCAGTGCCGCCCTTTGTTCCGCTGCAAACTTCGCCGGAGGGCTCCCCCCCAACCCCCACCCCCGGCCCGGGCTCCCCCCTCCGTTCCCCTCCCGATCCCCCGGTCCCCNCCCCTCCCGATCCCCCGGTCCCCTCCCGCCCGCCGGCACCGTCCCTCCAGGACGCCCCATCCTCCGCTTCCTCCCCCGGGGCTCCCCGACCCTCCTCGGAGCTTCCCGACCCCCCCCGGAGCTCTCCGACCCTCCTCGGGGTTCTCCGACACCTCTCGGGGCTTCCCGGTTCCCCCCGGTCCGTGCGGGTCCCGCAGGGACACGGGGACGTGGGGACACAGGGACATGGGGATGGGACAACGCGGCCGCGGCAGCCCCGGTACGGGGCACTGGGAACCGGGAGACGGGACTGGGACTGGCCACTGGGGACTGGGACAGGGGACTGGGAGCTGGCACTGGGTGCTGGCACTGGGGACTGGAAGGTGGTACTGTGTGCTGGGACCTGATACTGGAAGCTGGGACTGGGGACTGGGAGCTGGTACTGAGTGCTGGGACCTGACATTGGGTGCTGAGACTGGGTGCTGGAACCTGGCACTAGGTACTGGGACTGGGCAGTAGCACCAGGACCCGGCACTGGGAGCTGGGACTGGGGACTGGGACCAGGGATGGGGGACTGGGACTTGGCAGTAGGGACTGATACCAGCCACTGAGTGCTGGGACCTGGCACTGGGAGCTGAGACTGGGGACTGGGCATTGGAGACTGTGACCAGACACTGGCACCAGTCAGGAGTGGGACTGGGCACTGGGAGTAGCATCAGGACCCCGCACTGGATACTGGGACCTGGCACAGGGAGCAGACTGGGGGCACTGGGCAGGTCCCCAGGGCACAGGGCAGGGTGACAGGAAGGTGACAGCCGGGTGATGGCAGGGTGACAAACAGGGTGACAAACAAGGTGAAATCAATGTGACAACAGGCTGTGCTGGGGACAGGCCGGTGCAGTGAGGGGCTGTTAGGGCTGTGAGGGCTGTGAGGGGTGTGAGGGGTGTGAGGGGCTGTGAGGGGTGTGAGGGGCTCTGAGGGCTGTGAGGGGTGTGAGGGGCTGTGAGTGGTGTGAGGGGTATGAGGGCTGTGAGAGCTGTGAGGGCTCTGAGGGGCTCTGAGGGCTCTGAGGGCTGTGAGGGGTGTGAGGGGCTGTGAGGGGTGTCAGGGTCTCTGAGGGCTGTGAGGGGCTCTGAGGGCTCTGAGGGCTCTGAGGGCTGTGAGGAGTGTGAGGAGTCCCCGGTGGGACAGCAGGGAGGGGACAGGTCACGGGGACTTTGCTGCGACGAGATGTGGCCCCGTCCCTCCCCAGATCCCCCGGGGTCTCTCCACCTGCTCCAGCCGTGGGACCCCCGGGACAGGGGGCGGGGGGCCGGGTGCGAAGGGCGAGCGGAAGGGAGGGAAGTGTGAGGCGCTGCCCCCCTCCTGCCGCCCCCCGACGAATTTCCTTCCCAGGCATTAATAGACTCGGGCGGCTTTGAAATTTTATTACCCATAAAATTGACGACACGCTGGGGTTTTCCTCTCTCAGCCGCGGCAACGCTCACGGCCCCCGGGCCCCCCTCCCGCCCCTTCACAGCTCGGGGGCCCCCAAAATAAATACCAGAGGGCAGCCCCTCCTCCCGCACGGCCCCGCGCCGGGGTCCCACTTCTCCGGACCCCCGGCCGGATGCGCCACGGGTCCGCTCCCCACCCCTGACTGCCACCGCTCCGTTATTATTATGATTTTTCCTCCCTCCTCGCCCCCCCGGGGCAATTGTGGGGGGTTTTATGGTTCCTGAACAGAAGGAGGGAAAGGGCTTTACAGGCAGCAGAGCCATAAAGCTCTCGGGTTCCCCCCGGCCGCCCCCCCACTAATCCCCGGCCACCACCCCCAAACCCCCCACCCCCCCGGGGGTTTTTAACTGCAGGAGGAACCCGGGAAGGTTAATTGGGTTCTAAACCCATTGAGGGGCTACCCGTGACCCCCGCGACCCGTGGGGGGGAGGGAGCTTAATGAGGGGCGATGGGGGCCGGGGGGACCGGGGCGAGGGGCCGGCGGGGGCCGGGGGGGGCCGGAGCCGCTCAAGGTCAGTGGGACGTGAGGACACAGGGACACAAGGACATGGGGACACGGCAGAGCCACCTCTGGCACACGGCACCTCGGGGCTCCGTGGATCTGGGGGGGCTCCGGTCGGGAGGCTGATGGGGCGGGGGTGGGAGCCCCGAATCCGGGCCCCGGTGGGAACAAAGAGCGTGGGGGGGCCGGGGGCGGCCCCCCCTCCCGGCACATGCCCAGCTGTGACCGGTGTCCCGGTAACCTTTATCCCCTGTTGCCACAGCGACAGGACGAGCATCCTGGCACCGCAGCCAGCGTGTCAGAGCCCCCCCCACCGGTTCCCCTCGGGCCCGGTGTCCCCCCGAGATGTCAGTCAGAGCCCCGGTGTCCCCTGAGATGCCACAGCGACCCCCGGGCCAGCAGAGGGTCAGCGGTGCCACCGGTGCTGCCGCTGTCCCAGCGAGGGGCTTTGGGAGCAGCTCCCCAGGACCTGCCCCGGCTCCAGCACTGCTCCAGCATCTCCCACCTGGAGACCCCCCAAATCCCACCTCATGGCACAAACTGGCCACCGCAGACCCCTGTGCAGGGGTGTCACCTCGCCCACAGCCCCCCGTGGGGTGACATCCCGCTGGTGACGGGTGGCAAAGCCTCCACCGAGGGGCTGGAGGGGCACAACCTGCTGAGAGGACGGGCACGGGGGAGTTCAGTCGGGGATCTGAGCACTGCACATCACAGGGGGAGTTTGGGTGGAGGGTGCTCGCGGCCCCCAGGCCCATCCCGGGGGGTTCGGGCCCCCCCAGCCAGGGGGCCGGGCGGCATTCCGGGGGCTATGGCCGGTGTCGTGACCCCCGTGAGCCCGGGAAGGCCTCGGCGCAGCAAATGGCCCCGCTGCAGCTGGGTGCTATTAAACCTGACCGGTGCAGGGGGAGGGGGCTGCGCGGGGCGGGGGGCGAATTCCCAGCTCAATTTGACACAGATGTTTGCCGGGCCGGGAGGGCCGGTGCGGGGCCGGGGTGCTGCCGCCGGGCTGGGGGAGGGACCCCCGGGGACCCCCGGGTCCGATGGGTGCTCGGGGTTGTCACCCCACCGAGGTGGATGTCCCTGTGGGGCCACTCACCTTCACCACCTCTGAGCACGTGGCCCTGGCACGTCGTGCTGGGGGGCCGGGAGAGACCCCTGAGGTGTGGTGCTGCCCCATAAACCAGCTCAGGGAGGGTGGCAGAGGGGGCTGGGAGGTAGAGCCCAGAGGTACCTGGGGCCAGGTACATTCCCAGCTCCAGCACTGGGAGCAGTGCTCACAGCAGGTGCTGTGGGGCCGGAGCCCCCTGCTCTGCCCAGCCCGGCCCCCTCCACGGGGGGCTCACTCCAGGGGGCTCAGGATTCCCCGGGGTCAGGGGGCGGCCGGGGATCACCGAGGGTGGAGGGGTGGTGACCCCCGGGGCAGCCTCTGACCCGACCTTCAACTCCTAACGACCGAGGAGGAGCTCGCGGGGTCCCGGGGTTTGGGAGGGATCCCGGGGCCACCCCTGACGCCTCCTTCCTCCCACAGCGGACCCGGTGGTGCAGATCGAGGGCAACCCCCATTGCTGCTTCTTCAACTTCAGCCCCAAGATCATGTTCACGAAGGTGGTGAAGGCGCAGCTCTGGGTGTACCTGCGGCCGGTCCAGCACACCCCCACCGTCTACCTGCAGATCCTGCGCCTGAAGCCCGTCACGGACGAGGGCAGTCGCCACATCCGCATCCGCTCCCTCAAGATCGACCTCAACTCCCGCCTGGGGCACTGGCAGAGCATCGACTTCAAGCACGTGCTGCAGAACTGGTTCAAGCAGCCGCAGAACAACTGGGGCATCGAGATCAACGCCTTCGACCCCAACGGCAACGACCTGGCCGTCACCTCGCTGGGGCCCGGCGCCGAGGGGCTGGTGAGTGTCCTCGGGGGGAGTGGAGGGTGTGGGGGGCAATCGGGAGGGGTGGGGATGAGGCTCTGTGGGGAGGGTGACAGCGGAGGAGGGTGGTCACGGATCTGGGGAGCAGTGGCAGCTCCACAGGGACAATGACAGCTCCCTGGGGCTTGTCACAGCTCTGTGGGGACAGTCACAGCTCCAGGGGGACAATGACACCCTCATGGAGCTGGTGACAGCTTTGTGCAACTGGTAACACCTCCATGGGACTGGTGACACCTCCGTGGCGTTGGTGACATCTTGATAGGGCTTGGTGACAGCGCAGTAGGGCTGATGGCAGCTCCACGGGACTGGTGACACCTTGATAGGGTTGGTGGCAGCTCCATGGGGCTGGTGACACCTTGATAGGGCTGGTGGCAGCTCCATGGGGCTGGTGACACTGCCATGGGGCCGCTGCCATCCCGTGGGGCTGGGCCGGGGTCCAGCGGGGCGATGGCTCAGCGTGTCCCTCTCCCCCCCCAGCACCCCTTCATGGAGCTGCGGGTCCTGGAGAACAACAAGCGCTCGCGGCGGAACCTGGGGCTGGACTGCGACGAGCACTCGACCGAGTCCCGCTGCTGCCGCTACCCCCTGACCGTCGACTTCGAGGCCTTCGGCTGGGACTGGATCATCGCCCCCAAGAGATACAAAGCCAACTACTGCTCGGGGCAGTGCGAGTACATGTTCATGCAGAAGTACCCCCACACCCACCTGGTGCAGCAGGCCAACCCCCGGGGCTCGGCGGGGCCCTGCTGCACCCCCACCAAGATGTCCCCCATCAACATGCTCTACTTCAACGACAAGCAGCAGATCATCTACGGGAAGATCCCCGGCATGGTGGTTGACAGATGCGGGTGCTCCTAGAGCCCGGCTGGGGCTGCCCCTCCGCCCCACCACCCCCTCCACCGCCAGCTCCTCGTTTCTTCCTCTGTTTCTTGCTTTTCTTTAAGATTTCTTTTTTTTTCGGGGGAGAGGAAAAAAAAAATACAAAGACCAAGCGTTGAAATTCCTTTGGATGTTGGAAGAGAGAGAGAGAGAGAGAGAGAGAGAGAGAGAGAAGGAAATCCCACGGAGAAACGCTGCACCAAACCCGCGATTCGACATGCATTGTGCAATAAAGCAACCGAACGGAGAAGGGAAGGGGGGGCCGGGACCCCCACACGGTGACACGGTGACACGGTGACAAGGCACCCCCACCCCAGCGGCTCCCCCACCCCAGCTCAGCAGCAACGGGGAGAGGAGGAGGCCGAGGAGACCCCGCGCCCCCTCCTCGCGCTCCTGGAGCAGCAGCGGGAACGGGGCCACCCCTGCCCACCCCGCGGCCGAGGTGACACCCACGGGCAGGTGACCTGGAGGTCCCCGAGCAGCCACGGGGCTCCCGCCGGAGCGAAGACGGCGGGGTCCGGCAGCGGGACCCCCGGGACGGGCGCGCCGGGGCTGTTCCGGCCCGGGAGGAAACCGTCTCCCTTCTTTAATTTATTTATTTATTAATCACCCTCCCGGCTGGCGCTCGCCCTGGTCCCTCCCTTCGCATCCTCAGCCCGGACTGCTCTGGAGGGGCCACCCGGGGACCACCGGCACCCCCAGGCTGGAGGGGACGGAGCTGCCGCCCAAGCTTTGGATCCAGCCCTGGCACCGGCGCAGGGCACACAGCGCTCTCCCGGGGGGCTCGGGGGGTCTCCGCCGGCGGGAGGGCGTCCAGCAGCCCGGGGTTACCCGGAGGCAGCCCCGGCGGGCTTTGGACGGAGGCTCCGGCCGGGGAGAAATTCCGCTTACGCGGCGCATTCGCGTCCCGCCGCCCTCGGCGCTCCGGAGGATTTTTCACGTGAGAAACGACGATTCTCCCGCGTTCCCAGAGCCCGGAGGCTCCAGCGCTCCCTCCGCGGTGCCGCCGGGGCCGTGCGGGGCCGCTCCCGGCGCCGGGCGGGCGCTGACCCCGCGGCTCGGGGAGGGGAAGCCCCCGCGGCCCCCGGGCCCAGCACTTATCCCGAGGGTGCCGGGGGGGACACGCGGCTCCATCCCGGGGCCAGGCGGGGAACGACCCCGTGGCCAGGCACGTCCGCACCCCGCGTAGCACTTAAGGGCCGGCGCCGGGCGGCCGGGGGCTCTCCCGGGATGTTCAGCACTTGTCCCCGGCTCCGCGGAGCCACAAGCGCTTACAAGGACGAGGCCACCCCGGGGATGAGGCCACGGTGCCGACCCCCGGCCGTGCCGGACCCCGGACCCCCCCGCCTGGCAGCACTTACGGCCCCTCGTGCCAGGCTCCCGATGCCACCGGGCTGGTGGCTCCGGCGGTGGCAGCAGGGGTGGGAGGTGAGGGGATAGGCATGGACAGAGCCGGGGTTCCAAGGAGTGAGGTTCTGGAGACAGAGGAGCATCCCCCAGCCCCGCTCAGCCCCGAATGGGGGGCACAGCTCAGCCCCAAAACACCGTGGCCAACAGCCCCTCGTGGCCGAGGTCCCCAAGCCAAGGGGTCAGTGGTGGCTCTTCCAATACATCGGATAAAACGATGCCAATGAAAACCCCGGGGCGAGGGCAACCCCTCCCCCTGCCCTTCAGTGCCTTTTGGGGGGGCCGTGGCCTCCGGCAGCCCTGGGGCTCGCTGTGGAGGAGGGGGGACCCCCAGTGTCCCCACGCGGTGCCCGTGTTATGCCGAAGGCAACGGTCCCAGGGAAGACAGAGCCAGGCACTTGGAAAGATCCAGAGGCCACTGGGAAGGGACTGGAAAGGGTTTGGAGCTGCCCTGGACCTGGGGGAGCCCCAAACCCACTTGTCACCCCAAAAGGCCCCCAAGGCAACTGTCACAGGCAGGTGGCACTGAAGGAGAAATGATGGGAAGGCCTGGGCACTGGGACCCGTTAGCATGGGGCACTGGGACCAGTTAGCATGGGGCACTGGGACCCATCAGCTCCAGGCAGTGTGACCAGTCACCTGTGGGTACTGGGACCAGTTATCTCCAGGCATTGGAGCCAGTCAGCCCCAAGCACTGGGACCAGTTACCTCCAGGCAGTGGGACCAGTCAGCCCCGGGCACTGGACCACGGCCCCAGCAGCAGGCAGCACTGGTCCCAGTGCCCGGGGCTGACTGGTCCCATAGGTGGCTCCCAGGTGGGGGTTGCAGGGGTGGTGGCCCCCTCAGTATATTATTATTATAATTATTATAATTATTATAATTATTTCCTGGTGTATCGGTCTGTGTGTAACGTCTTAGGTTCCTTTTCTGTTCGTCTGTTCGTTGTTTTGTTCCTCGTTCTGTCGCTCTGGGGGGTCTGGGGGGGTCCAAGACGGGCCCCAGGGGAGGGGGGGGCTCACAGCGGGTCCCAAAAGGCCACGGCTGGTCGGGGTGGGGCTCACGGTGGGACCAAACTCAGCACTTGAACAGCAAAAATATACAAGAAATAATAAAAAAAAAAAATTAAAAAAAAAAAAAAAAGAGAGAGAGAGAAATAATCCAAGAGTTCCAAGCTTTCAGCTCCATCTGCACCCCTGGGGGGCCCAGCACCGTGGGCAGGGGTCACATGAGCTGGTGGCACCGGGACCCCTGGGCAGCACCGGTGCCATCGATGTCCCCCGAGACATTGGGCTTGTGGTGGCTCATCCGGCGTCACCAGGAGGGAGCTGGTGGTGACACTGCAGCCAAGGGGCGGCCGGAGGGGCCGGAGGGGCCGGAGCAGCCCCTCGGGGGCTGGGAACCGTTTGCACTATGGAAAGGTGGAGAAGGGACGAGGCCGGGACCGATCGCCCTCGTGGGCGTCCGTGGGCACCGGGATCGGCCCCTCAGTGCCAGGGCCGGGGGGCTGCGGGACCCCGGGGGGGGCAGGGGGAGGAGAAGACCCCCCACAGAAGAAGATCCCCCTCCCAGGCTGGCCTGAGGCCCAAAGACACCCACACTCCTCGTCCCGTCTGAGCCCTGGATCCGTGGGGGTATCTGGCACGGGGACACCCAGCATGGGGACACCCAGCACGGGGACATCCAGCACTGCCACCACGTCACACGTGGCCTTGTCACACGTGGCCTTGTCACAAAGGTCTGCCTGCGATGCCACCCCCGGCTCCCCCGGCGGCAGAGACGGAGGGGGTTGGTGTCCCTGGAGCGGGATCGGGGGATTTGGGGCCCCTGAAGAGCCACAGGAGAGGAAAAGCCCCACAAGTGTCCCCGTGACTCCAGTGTTGGACAAGTGACATCTGTTGTAACTCGTGCCCTAAAGGCCTCCCCGGCCCCGGCCCCAGCCCTGGCTCCTTCGGTTTTTTAGACTTTTTGTAAAATAAAAAATTTATAGAGTCAAAAAGATACTGGGAAAAAGGGAAAATTGATGATAAACGCATTTTGCTCGGGCTACTGATCGTGGCCCTCCCCGGGACCCAGCCCCCCACCAAGATCCAGCCCCTCACCAGCACCAGATCCCACGGTCAGCACCAGATCCCCGCGTCCCTGCAGCCCCTCTCGTGTTTCCACGGCCCCCCCGCCGCCCCCTCCCACCCCTCCCTCGGGATCTCCCGGCCTGATCCAGCTCCGAGGGCTTGGGAAATCTTTCCTGATGCTTCTCATTTTTCCCATGCTCCCGGCACTGGCCGCACCCCAGGGACAAGGGATGAGAGGGGACAGAGCCCACCCGGTGCCCTGTGCCTGGCTCGGAGCCCCCGGACATTCCCAGGTTTATCTCCCACCTGGGAACCACCCACAGCCCCCTCCCCTCCGGAGCCCCCCGGACACGCTGGTCCTTGTGCCTTCACACAACCAACACCTGGAGAATCCACCCAGGAACAACCACCCCAAAACTGGGAACAACCACCCCTAAACCTGTTCAGCCCCCCAGAGATGGGTGTCCCCGTCCCAGCGATGGGGGGAGGGTCTGAGACCACCACTGAGGGGGGGTCACCACCTTGAACACCCTGAGAGCTGCAGGGAGGGCGGGTTGACCCTGAGGAGGGGACGGACAACACAGGACAAGGATAGAAGACACGGGACAGGGATGGAGGACAAGGAACGGATGGGGGACATGGGACAGGGATGGAGACCCAGGACAGTGCAAGGGACACCCCGCACCAGACCACCAGCTCCAGGCCATGGCAGGAGCTGTGTCCCCCCTCCCAGCCTCCATTTCCTCCCAGTGCAGCCCCCCCGGTTGTAAAGCAGAGATTTACAAGTGGCCCCAAGTGCCGGAGGAGCCGCGGGATCAGGGGCAGCTTTATGGAGCCTCATTAGGGGCTGCAGGTATTCCGGGAATGTCCAGCAGCTAATTATGGCTGGGCCAGGACAGGGGACAGGGTGGGCAGGGGATTGTCACCACAGGAGGGGACAGGGTGGGCACTGGAGGGTCACTGCAGGAGGGGACAGTGTGGTCACTGCCCACGGGGCCGGGGAACCTTCTGGCCCAAGTGAGGGCCGGACACACGGACATGGCTCCAGTTCAGCCCCCGATGGGTCAGACGGGCCCCAGGCCCTGCTGGGGCGGTGACTCCATGGCCATTGGCCGTGTCCCTGCTCTCCCGCTCCAACTGGGGTCCTTCAGGACACGTTGGAAGCTGCTGCTCCCCCTGGGAATGCCCCGGGCCCCTCCACACCCCATCCCTGCCCTACAGATCCCACCTGCTCCCCCCAGAGATCCCCCAGGCCCCCTGGGGGGCTCCGAGGGCAGAACTGCCCCAGCTCTGCCCCCTCCACACACTGGGGGTAAAACCCTCGGGGGTCTCCAGGAGCCTTGGGGAGGCACCGAACCAGTCCCATCGTGCACCAAGAGTGACCCCCCACCCTGTACCCCAGCACGGCCCTGGGGACAACACCAGCTCCCATGGGATCAGAATCCCCCTCGGGGGCCAGGGGGTCCTGCGGGGGGACCGGGCTGTGCCACCCACCCCGAGGGCCGGAGGAAGGAGGTCCCGGGGCGGGGGGGGGTTTGTTTGTTTGCTTCGAGGGCGATGTCAAGAGTTTAACGAGCGCTCGCTTTTGTTCTGGTCACGTCTCCCCCGAGGCCGCCCGGGGGCTGCACCCCCACATCCCTGCTCCCCCCGGCCCCCGTGACCTAATTCGGAGACCAAGGGCAGGGCTGGAGGGGGACAAATTAGGAACGGGGACATCCGGGCGACCACCCACGGCGGCCCCACGGCCCCCCGGACCTGCCCCTCCGCCGCTGACAGGACCGGCCGCCCGCGACATTCACAGTAATTAAACCACCAGCGGGGGCTTGGCCCGGCTCCACCGGCCCTGCGGGGCCCGGGATTATCCGGGGGAGCTGGGCACGGGCCAGGCCCCCCCACGGCCGGAGGGCAGCGCTGGCACCAGCACGGGGCTCCCCAGGGACCCGGCGGGTCCGTCCCCAACCTGTGGCAGGGATGGGGTTTGGTGCCATCCCCGAGATTCCTGAATGGTCCCAGGATCGGGGTGGGTCAGTCTCCAACCTACAGCTGGGGTGGAGTTTGGTGCCATCCCAAAGGTCCCCAGACCATCCTGGGATCCAGCTGGCTCGGTCCCCTGGCAATGCCCAACCTACATCAGGGACGGGGTTTTGATGCCATCCCAAAGACCCCCAGACCCTCCCGAGCTCTGGGTGTCTCACAAGGAGGATTTGAGGCGTCCTCATTCCCTGTCCTCCAGTGAGCACATCCCTCATGGAGCCCCCTCCTCCATGGCAGGGCAACAGAAGGATCCAAGGATCCAAGAAGGATCCAAGGGGATGGATCAGCTCTGGCCACGCTCTGGCTCCTGGGACATCCCTGTCCCGTGGGACAGGAGCCACCAGCCAAGGAGGGGCAATCCTTGGTCACCTCAAGGAGATGAGACCAGTGGGAGACAAGACGAGGCCAGTGGGAGTGGAGGTCAGTGGGAGACAAGGCCGGTGGGATTCGAGGCCGGATTTGAGGTCGGGGGATCC